CATTATAAATTTATTTATAAAGAGAATTATAAAAAGGGGTACAATACGTCATTGCATAATATTCATAAGAAATATTCATAACAATGCGGTATTTATTAATGTTTATTAATGTGTAATTGATTACTGAAAACTACGACACGCGACATAACGACTGAAGAAACATCACGTTACGAGATTGAGATAATATTCACGTTACGCAAGTTATAAAATAACTTCGATAAAATCTCCGAGTAACGTAAATACCTACCCAGAGATAGAGTTCTCTTGTACGACTGCGATTCGCGAGAATTTGGTGTCGTCGCGCGATTCGCAGGAGGATAAACTCGAACAATAGTACCAAATACAATATAAAGGTGTTCCGTTTCCTCCAGCTCATCTCTGTCTCCTCTAGCGTATCTCTTTCGATGAATACCTGTTTATAATTGCACGCAGCTCAGCGATGTACTTACGATACTTTGTACAGCGTATTATTGCACATTGTCTCTCCTTAGACGCACCTGGACGCACGCGTCTTAAAACTGGAATGAAGGCGTTGTCAGCCCCGCTCGACCGATGGATCCGCAGCAACCTGCGAAGCTACGTTCGGCTGTTTTTGTTGTAGCTCATTGGGATGATGAGTGGGTCGCGTCGTGCAGCGCACGCGGAGCAAACCGTAAGGCAACCAGCCGTTGTTATTGCCGTGCACTCCGGTTTGGTTGTTCTCTCTGCTGCCGGCTGCGACGTCCCGCTGCGCCTGCAGCCGATGCAGCATCGCGCCCGCAACGAGAGCGGAAACGACTGCCGAGAGCGCGACGACGATGAAAAGCGCGCTAAAACCTGGCATCGGCAGACAGATCCCGTAAACGACCTCTTCGCGTATCCTGCCCTGAAAAACAGTCACCGCCTCGGCGTGCGTGTCCGGACTAAAGGCTAGATCCGCCTCGGAGATGACCTCGTAAATACCGCTGACACCAACGTCAGCGCTACGCGCTTTCCTATCCGTCACCGTCACCGAGCGTTTTCGACGGGTGACACTGGCGGAGAGCGGCGTCACCGGCACCGCGCCGTTGTCCTCCTCCAGATTCCGCGGTCCATGCGGAAATTGATCCTGTTCGCTCTCATATTTATCCACCCGCGATGGTTCCTAAAAAAGAAGCGAGCGATGTGATTTATGATGTATATCGATCGATTGAGACAGATAGATTGTTTTTTTTTTTTTTTTTACGTTTTTTACCATAAATGGTTTCGATAAATCGACATCATCCGGCTCGCTGTCGTGCTGCGTTTCAGTCACAGTTGATGGTAACCGATTACTCGTCTGTGCTTGAGCTTTCGGAATCGACTTTTCAACATCTAGGAAATGTCCGCCGATTGACGTCATATCGTCGCCGTTCTGAATAACATCATCGTATAGAGAACCATCTCCATGCTCCACATTGCCATCCGAGTCTTCGTTGTCTTTGTTCGAGCTGCTGTTATCGTTGTCATTAGAGGGAATAGAAGTTGCCATACTCTCTATGTATTGCGGTCGTATATGATCCTTTCTTTCTTGAATATAATGAGCTATAGAGCCGCTCAATTGACAATGATCCAGACAACCGTGCCGACATATTTCCACCTTTTTGTACAAATATTTTCAAATTTGTTAAAGGAAATTCGAATGGTAAATGACAGACAGAGATTATCAGTCGAGATAAGCTAATCTCTCGATCAAGAGATTAACCAACAATCAGATTTAACAGTGAAAAATGTAAAAAAGTACATCAGCTGTGTTCGGATGCACCGAAAATTCTCTCTTTTCGTGTGAATGTAACAAAACGAATAAAATCAATCATTTCGACCCTTCAATTCGGGTCCTTGCCGATATAAAATATAAATCGAAATTACATAAGTAACGCAAATCCCAAGTTGATGGTTCCCGACAATTTAGAATACATTAATCAGATTTGATCTCTAAAAACCGTACATTGTTACCTTGCATTTGATATGAACGCTTAACGCGTCCGGGAATTTAAACGCGTGGAAGAAGGCGTACGTGATCACGGTCGCGCGGTCGTCTGAGCCGCGCGCCTTCAAGAACCGGCTGATCATCTTCGGTCTTAGCACGCAGCCGAACTCGTCGCTGAGCTGTATCGTGTGACCGCCGCCGTCTGAAGCCACGCACGACTTGACCCGCATGTCGAACTCACCTGTGCTCGGTTAAATAACAGAAAATTACGTTAGTAAATCTC